ATTCAAAGCAACTTTTTTCTTACTTTGAGTAGGCAAAATAATCAAAATAGGTTTAAATTTATATTTAAAGTAAGTTAGGTTCATGTAAATTTTATAAAAATTGATAGATTCATTACTATGGTAAGCCCTTGTAATGTGTTACAATAAATAAACAAAAATAATTAAACACAAACAGCATGTTTTTTAACTACAGCAGCAATTTGCACATAGAAATAGATCGTCGGGACAAATATTTTTTTTTAACTTCTAGTACATAAAATAAGCTTTACTGTAACATTTGATTGAAGCTCGGAATATTTTCGGAACATATTCAAAAGTTAAGTTGAAATAGTACATTTTCCATGAAAAAATTGCTATATTGAAAATCCCCTGTGGGCAGGTAAAAGGGTTATGGTTCAAAAAAATGTACACCAAATAAAAAGGACATACCTAAGATATTTACAAAAAAAATTATTTTGATATGTTGATTTTCTNGTAATGTGTTACAATAAATAAACAAAAATAATTAAACACAAACAGCATGTTTTTTAACTACAGCAGCAATTTGCACATAGAAAATAGATCGTCGGGACAAATATTTTTTTTTAACTTCTAGTACATAAAATAAGCTTTACTGTAACATTTGATTGAAGCTCGGAATATTTTCGGAACATATTCAAAAGTTAAGTTGAAATAGTACATTTTCCATGAAAAAATTGCTATATTGAAAATCCCCTGTGGGCAGGTAAAAGGGTCATGGTTAAAAAAAATGTACACCAAATAAAAAGGACATACCTAAGATATTTACAAAAAAAATTATTTTGATATGTTGATTTTCCAAAATCTATGACAGATTTAAGTAAAAAAGTTTTAAAAAATGTTGAAAATTACCGATTTTTAAAATTGTAATATTTCGGAGGATTTTCCTCTTTTATGAGAAAAGAGGGAAATTTTTTCGATTTTTGAAGGTAATATCTTTGACTATATACGATTTGTGATTTTTTAACGTATCGTTAAAAGAAATCGGTTCAATGAAAGCTGAGAATAAGTGACAGCAGACACAAAAACCATAACAGTAAAATTTATATCTTCACGACTTCGCATTATAGCTAAAATATAACTTAATGAAGTATTAAAAGTAATCTTAAGTTCTGAATCGGCTAAAAAGTTAAGTTTAATTTTGACATGATTATAATATAGATATTTATAAAAATGAAAGTCGAAAAATGTAGCAACGCATAAACTATTTTATAGATTTTAATTCACCTCAAACTATACATATTTTTCGATAGACTATAATATTAGAACAATACAATATAACTCCTATACAAATAGTTTGTAAACGTTGTTTGCGTATTGAATAATAATATTATAACGATAATTTTTATGTAAACCTACCAACTACTATCTGAGTTGAAAATGTTGCTTTTTTGAATCCTTCTCCGAGGGCAGATGGTTAAGTGTCAGATTTTCAAAAAAATTATATCAAATTAAATGAAAATATCTATAGTAATTATATATAAAAAATTTTGATTTGTTCATTTTTCAAATAATTATGGTAGTTTTAAGTATTAAAATATTAACACGTTAAACAGTAATTTTTACATAAAGATAACATTTTTTGTTCAATTCTGTGGCCATTAGCCCATAGAAGAAAAGGTGTCGGGACAAATTTTTTGAATATATATTACTTAACATAAGCGTTAATTTGTCATATATATAAAGCTCGGAGTGTTTCCGGAACATTTTCAAAACTTAACTTGAAAAAGTTAAATTGTTTTGCAGTAATTGTTATTTTTAATCCCCCTCTAACGCAAAGTAAAGGGTCAGATTTTCAAAAAAATTATATCAAATGAAAGGGAAAGACCTAAGGTTTCAATATAAAAATAAAATATTTTGATTCGCTCATTTTTCAAAAAGTTATGGCAGTTTAAAAAAAAGAGTTTGAAGAATGTCGAAATTTACCGGTTTGAAAATCGTAATTTTTCGGGATTTTCTCCCATTTACGGAGAACTAGAAAAATGATTTAAATTTTTATGAGTAATATCTTCAAATAGATACGATATGTGATCTTTTGACGTATCGTTGAAAAATATCGGCCCAGTGAGAGCTGAGAAAAAATAGTGACAGACACAAAAAAATAAATCAATAAACACGTCATGGTAAAATTAATAACTTCTTAGCTTCGCATCAAAGCTAAAAGAAATAAAAATAAATTTTATTTGAAAATTAAAAGGTTTTGTTCAAAATTAAAATTATAAAAACATTTTATTGTCACCTTGTTAATTTTTAATCAAACTAATTTTTTAAATCAAATTTATCATTAGTCATTTTCCGACCGTACTCTTCATCCCGCCTAGGTATAAAAATGAGAACGACACTCAAAGTAATGGTCCAAAAGTTGTTACCGACCAGTCATTTTCTTAATTAGATTATTTTCTTTATTATAAGCTAGTTAAACATATATGTTGTTATTTAAAAACTTAAGTTGACACACCTATAAGACAAAAAGGATGAACATAAAAAATACTTTATAACAAATAAATAGAAATACATATGTTCCAAAAAAAGCCTAGACTATTGTTAAAATAATCACTCTGTATTTATATATATATGTGTGTGTTTGTGTGTATGTATGGAGTACATTTCAAGTATAAAATAATACGCGTAAAAAAACTATTATGATTTTCTTCTTACCTACTTTTTTGCCAAAACTTGTAAAGTTTAATGACTGAACGTCAGCTTTAAGCTTCTAACACGAACGGTTAGTGAACTTTGTCATATGTGTTTCTGACATATATTAGACTAATTTTGGCTTAATAAATATATTTAAAATTAACTACCTAAACATTTTATTAAAACTTTGATCAGCTCCTAAACAAGACAAGAAAATAATGTTCATTATTCTCTTCAATCTAGTTTTTTTCCATACCAATATTTTATTACATAATAAAACAAAGAAAAAAACGCTTTTCTGAGAAGATTACTTAGTGTGCTCCGATTTTCAAAATTTTTTTGTTCAACAAAAGTGTAATTGGTCACGAGACTACGGAAAAATTATTGGCAAAAGTCGGAAAATTTTTGCGCTCGCCCAAAAAAGAGTTTTAAAATTTCGACCGTTTTCGAGAAAAACAATCGCTGACACTAGCGTTTTACAACTTAAGGTTTGATATTTTCACCAAACCCGCCCAAAGACATTTCTAAGATGTCATAAAAAAAATTAATGCAATCCGCTCAGATTTCACCGTTCTGCGAGCACTTTTTGAAAAATGGTATCGTCACATTGTCGCACATATATGTATTTTAGACAGTACCCGAATTACGAGGCTCATAGGGCCCCGGGTCTGGGGGGGAACCCTACTAGACAAAGCATAGTACATATCTCAATTTATTATTTTTAACACACGAAAAGAATTGTATTTTTCAAAGTATTATTAATAACAACAATAAATAGGTATTGTTTAACAAGTGTTTTATTTAATAAAAAAACTTCTTAATTTAAAATTTTTAATTGAAATTTTGTCTATCTTCTCTTTCAACAATAACTATATCATTACTGTGTAAAAAAGAAATTACAGAAATTTTCATTCTAATGATTATAAATTCCTTAAGAAGAATTGATAAATTCATTGATAGATTATTTTAAATTAAATCCCAGTTAAAGTGTAATTTTTTATCAATTTTCTTGTTAGTTATCAATTTTATAGATCTATTGGCAATAAACAAAATTCGACAACTTAGTTTATTTTCATTTATTTTCTTGATTAAATATACATTTTAAATATGTATACCTATCAATAGATACAAACTTATAAATAAGTATAAAACCCTTTTTTTTATATTACCGTAAGACGGAAATAAAAATTGTTTAACAGCTAATTAAGCAATTGAAAAAGGAATTTAATATTGTTTTCTTTGCATGACGTTGGGATAGTTTGTTAATTTTATGTTGTGACCACGTAAGTCAACTAACTAACATCTATAGTTTTATAACTTTAATAACAATTCTTACGACATTTTAGTATCTATCTTTAGCAGGTATGTGTACAAAGCGCTTCTTCCCACTTTCAGTCCTTTTTAGTCGTCTTTTACGACAGTAGAACAACCCAGTCATATTTTTACTCCTTAATCCAAAGAGTACAGTATAACGTCGGAGAATACACGGTAGATATAAAAGAATTCTTTTAATTTTACAATAACATTAAACTTACAAAATCCTATTAACGGAGAAAGAAGCTTTATTACGTGGCATAATACAGTAGTTTTATGTGAATAGTAAACATTTCAAATAATGTTATAGAGATTATTATGCAATGAATATTAGAGCGAATGAAAATTCAATACGTTTTGTTGACATATGTAAGTTTCATTGTTTAAAATACCCATCTTTTTTTAACTAATATTCATCAAATAGTATATTTATTGAGCTAACTGAGTTATTTAAAAACGTACGTAATAATTACATACATAACATCTAATAAACACAAAGTACTATCATTTTAATAAATCTTCTTAGTCATATGTACTGAATTAAAGTTATTTTATTTACAAAAACAAAATTTATGTATAAACGTAATCTTGGATAAATATAATATTTTTAAAAGCTAAAAGATATTTATTGAACATTAAAAATGACATAGAATAATGCCTGATGTATATACAAAATATGTAGCTTTGTATAAAGTTGTACTCAAAAAAGTTATTTATATTTATAAAGGTTACAATATTCAGCTAATTTCTATCCTTGACCTAAATTTTTTTGATTGAGAGATTTTATATCTTAGACAACAATGAGTGCCACAATATTAACATGTAATAAGATTGTTACTGTTAAAAAATGGAAATTTTTGATGTGATTGGTTAAAATTAAACACTGATTTAATATTCGCCAAATTATAAAAAAAAAAATTTTGAGTTGTCATGACAACGTGACATTTAGTAAAAATATTTTAATAAATTAAATGAAAATTATTCTAAATAATTATAAAGTAAAAAAATTAAATTAAAAAAGCTATACTCACATAACAGACGGTTGTTTTGTCGTTACATCTTCTGGTGGTGATGCAGGACTTGGTGTAGGACTGCTTTCAGCTGGACTAGGTCTATTACTAGCACTGTTTAGTTTTGTAGTCACTAAAAGTATGATAATTCATATTTACTAAATTTAAAGTATAAATGAAAAAACAATAATTCGTGTTACGCAAGAAATGTTAGTTCAATTAAGATTTATTCAATAAAACAGAAAACTTAATTATCGTTATTCTGACAAAAAGTTACTAAGTTAGTTTTTTTTTTTATCAAACAAGCCACGAGATGTATTTTAGAATGTTTTTTTCCAGTTCAAAACTGCAACAACTAAAAAAATTTAGATTTTGAGTTTTGATCTCTAAATTGTAATCAGTAGCGTCAACGCTTGAAACAGGTGAGGCAAGTGCCCCTAGTTAAAATTTAGAAAGTCACAAATATCTTTTCACCTCCCCATTTAAATATGACAAAAAATATAGCAAAAAAATCATCATTGTTTAAGAACTGGGTTATGTTTAAAAGACTTTAAGAACATACACAAAAGTTAAATTGAAAAGATTAACTTTTTATGCAACTAATGAGCCACTGTGTGCTGAGAAAAAGTAATAACAGAAAAATAAAATAAATAAATAAATATATCATGTTAAAATTAATACCTACTTAGCTCAAGGCTAAAATATTTTTTTAGAAATTTGACTTAAAACATAGATATTGTCTATGATTTAAAAAAAATCGTTTATCATTGATCTCAGATTTTGTAATTAACCCACAATATTCTGTTCTCATATTGTTATTATATTACTTAATAATATATTATAAAAAATAAAATGATTTTTAGTTATTAACTTTTTATCTACTCTCTATGCGAAAAATAGTTACGGTACTTATTGTAGTTCATTATTCAATATTAAAAGTTTATAAATCCAATTTAATATAGCTAAATTATTCATTAGTGGAGGATGCACTCCAAATTTAAATTCTACATTGGAGATAAAGTTTGTTTATCAAAACATTATACTAGAAAATTTGATTTTTTTCTAGTTTTGATTTGAGGCGTTAATATTCTGAAATACATTTTACAAATTTAGATCAATTTCAAATTTTTACTATTAAAGTTTAATTAAATAGTAATTAATCACTAAAGCCAAACATTTTAATTTTATCATCTTATTAATAAACCTCTAAAATTTTATTTTACAACTATTAAATTTTAAATTACATTTTCTTACTTATTAAAAATAAACTGATACATTTTTTTAATTATTAAATTATTTGAATAGCTTAAAAGCTTATTTTAATAGTGGTTTTCACATAAATAAAACAATTTTATATTTGACTACACCTGTTGTCTTGACCATTTTATTATATTTTATAAATATCATTTTTAAAGACTATAAAAAATGAAGCTTAGATTAATAAAATGCATTTAAATATTCATATGAATATTTCTATAACTTTTGTAATAAAAAAGACAATTTTTATAGCGAATAAAAAAAATATGCTTAAAGAAAATAAATAGATAAATATTTAAAAAAAGCGTTTAAAATAAAGTTTCAAGTAATATTACTTGATATCCAAAGACATTATATTGTTATTTAAAAACTTAAAAATACTTTCATAAAAGTTAATAGCTATAACATTAAATTATAGAAATCATCTAACTCCGTCATCCAATAAATTGATGGTTTAATCAACCCATTAAACTTTTAACTAGATAAGATGAATAATTTAGTAAAATGTTGACACAACCACAAGTGTGGAGGAAAATTGAAATTAGTAAAAATGTACAAAAATTATAAGTAGTTAATTTTTATACATTTCAGTTGTTAAAAATTCAATAAGTAACACTAGCAAATTTTTCATGAAAATATTCTTAATGGTAAGTAAATATATTTAAATACAGCTAATTTTGCCTTATTTTAACTTTCATTTACGAAGAACAATAATATAATATTGTTAAATAGTAATAATTACATCATTTGTTTAAAATAATTATAGAAACCTCTAAAACCATAAAAATAAATTATATTTGAATAATAAGGCACCTTAAGAGTAGAATTATTTTTAACTCGATGAATAGCAAAAAAAGTTGCTATTGATTTTACTGCGATTCGTTTTATTTTTTATTTTCACACTCAGAGACACTCAATCTTTTTTCTACTGAACCTACTTTTTAATGGTATCCTATTTCAGAAATAAGTATTGTCAACTAAACTATGGTGGACTTAAAGTTAAAAAAATTATCTTTTCGTCCCCTAATCCGGGAGAATTCGAACAAAATCGTCATCACGCTTTAATTTTTTATATTAAATTGCTATAATTCGAACAAAAAGATTGAAAACATCATTATTTTATCGAAAAACTAATGATGTTTAAATTGGATGATATAAAATCTATTAAGAAATGTTTTTTTTAAAAAAAAAGCTTTATTTAATATAATGTATTTAATCTGAAAAACAATTATAAAAAATAAAGAATAAATAAAATATTGTACCACTGAATTTAAAATGTTATTCTTAGTAACCATGTTTAATTTAAATTTAAATGAAAAATCATTGATTAATAGGCAACTTTTATATGTTTTCTAATTAAAAAAATGTACACAGTTAAAAATGTATTTAAGACAATAATTTTTACTCTATCAATTGTTTATATAATTAGTTATTTTATGTACTGTTTTACATATCACTTACTTTTATCTTGTGCCGTCATTAAACTAGATGATAATGTCTGTCGTATTTTACTGAACCTTGTTCCTTGTTCAGGAACTGAGGATTCAGATCCAGAATTACCCTCTGGTACGATCTAAAAACAAAAATTACAACAATCGTAAACTAATTACATTATAATAAATAGGGAAATATTGAAATTTAACTGAATAAAATAATAACATAATAACATATAATCATTTAAAAATAATCAAATTAACCATTAATGATCAAAGCTTATACTCATCACATTTATAATTTTGCTATTTTTCAATTGTTTTATTAGTTAGTTAATTTCAAAGTAGATTCGAATTCTAAATATTCCTAATAATTTAGTCAGATATAATGAAAATAATTCAGTTCATACTGATGTATATTTTTTCCTAAGTACAATATCTACCAAAAAATATTTGAAAAAATTCTTAAAAAGAAGAATAAATACTTATGTGAGAAAAACTAACGCATATTTAAATATTGTCACTCAAAGTACTTTTCTTTTTAATTTCTTGGATATTTTATTTTTCCTTTTTTTTCTCATACGGTTATCTTTCCACCAATACCTCAATTGCTGACAATAAATCACGGACAAGCACCACCCGGCAATTTAGTACTCTGATTTATGGAAATCTGATTTCTTGGATTTAGTATTTTTTTTCTCCTTCGTGTTTCATTTATTTTTTATTGTCAGAAAAACTACTTTTAGAAGATTTCTTATTCTTTTATTTTCATACCACGCATATCTCGGGGACGCAATTTCGTGAAAAAACTTTTCCCGTCGTTTATGTTAAAATACATAATAAACATATATGCACGACGAACCGAAATAATGCGCTTTCAAGTACCTTGTTAGTGTTAATACACGAAATCCAGGAACGATTTAAAATGTATTTAACTTCATAAATCAAATACATTAACTACAAGACGATACGAACTTCAAGGTATGATAGGTCTCGAGCGAAAATGTTTTATTGTTTCTTGTTATAATCATTATTGAAAAAATATATGAGTAAATGATCAAATAGATATTGGCTGAATGTCATATTATTGAACATTAATTAATAATAATTGAAAAAATGACAAAATAATAATTAAACTAAGTCATAAATTCATAAAGTTTCCATGACTAGTTTCATTTAAACTTCAGTTTAGTACCTATACAATTAGCATTATTGAATAAACTTTTTTTTTGCTTAAAGGTAGGGATGAGCATCTATATTTACAAATATAAAATATTGCCCGATATGGACCATATCAGAAAATGAAATCTTTTTAAAAACCAATATTATATGTGATATTTTCACTTCTCCTAAAATAGGCTCCAGGGGTGGTTACAGCTTTTCAACTTTCATAAACACACTACTAATACATAATTGTAAATCTGTTGTTAACAAAATATCTTTAAGCATTATAATTATTTTTTGGTTTATACGAAGTTATTACTTTATCCTTTTTATAAATGGTTTCATTTTTTATTTAATTGAGTATTCATTAAATAATATAATCTTACTAATCAGAACGCTTATTTTATCTATTTGTTTTTCTCCCGGACCGCATAGTTATGGGCCGCCCTGGAATTACCGTTAGGTATTACTTCAGGGCAGCTTACAACGTCTATATCACTCACAACACGGCCTGGCCTCCTCCGTTAGCCGGACCCCACAGTGAGATCCGTTGCCCAAGTTGCACTACACTGAAAGAGACAGAACTTTGCGCTGCTTGGTATTATAATTCACAAACGCTGATAGACATTAACACATAAATGACCTAAAGCGCCACCTTATGTCGTCCTGCCTTGGAACCACGGGCCTATGCCTTAGAAGATGCGCTCCTTTCTACCTCTTTAGGGCGGATTCCACAAAGGCCTGAACTAAAGGCCAACCCTCTCGACAGCTTAACATTGTGTCCATCATGTCCCGACCTCGAACGTGTCTCCGAGATGCAGTGAATGTTCCGGGAGGCCTCCGCATCATGGCGGGACACAGTGTGGAGCGCCATGACCTGACATTGGATGGTATGTCATTTCCGTCGAGCCTGTCGGGTCCATTGGGCCAACGGTCCTCCTCGCTCAGCGTTCGCGCCACCGGAACATAATCGTACGCCTCAAGATCATACGGTCTTTCGCATACAGCGGTCGACTGCGCACTCGGCGAATGGCATTACTGGTGACACGCTCTTCTGCTAGAAGGTCGGCAGCGATGCCTGTACAACTGGTCGCCTCACCGAACGCTGTGCGGTAGTAGGTCGATGTAGTCCTCAGGGCCGCCTTCCTTTACACCCTGAGCAGGGAATAAGCTCAGTAAAATCTAACTGTAGTTTGGTGCGAAGGTATTCAATTACGTTCACTAAGCTGCGTTGGTTTTTTATACACGACGGAAGACGTTAAAACAAATGTTAAGTTAAGGTTAACAATTTAAGAGCTAAATACTGATAATTTTTTAAGTATGATTTTATTTTTAGTCTAGCTGAAAAGCTGTGTTTTTTAAGCATAAATTTTACTGTCGGATTTGTTATCAGTTTTATATCGGCTTATGGGAAAAAATTATATTGACTAATCCTTACTTAAAATCTGTAAAACGTGAATACGTCTTATTATACTAATTATTAAATATTTAACACAACAGTTAATACAAAATAAAATAATAACCTTCTTTGTTGCAGTTAATATAATGAAAAATAACTGAAGATGTTTATTTTTAATTGATATTACTGAATAATAACGTGTATGAACTAATACGTCAACATTTGTATGTTCATTCCTTATATTTTATAAAAGTCTAAATGGTAAAATACATAATAAACTAGCATAATTTAATGGGTAATGATTTAATTAAAAATATAATTGGTCGATAATATTTTTCAAACTAATATCTTGGAAGTTATTCACATTTTTATATCAAGGCGTAAGAAAGAATACGATCGAAAAATGAATAATAATAAAAATAAAAAATATCTGCGTCTCACCTTCACTTTACTATAGGCATTTACATGTTAATAACTTTCAAAATACTGGTCCACAAAATTTTATCAACTAGTCATTTTCTTAATAAAATTACTATCTATTTAATAAGCTATTTGAATGTATGTTGACATTTGAAAAAATAAAATCGATACCCTTACAAGAAAAGAATAATTGAGATAAAACATGTTCTACAACGAAGAAATTCTCAATATTGTTTTTATTTTTCGTTTAGTAAAGTATTATATGATAAATGAATCATTCTACATAATTTAGTGGTTTTTTGTATAACAAAATAAAATTACCATAAGTACGTTTTATAAATCATCTACGACGCACGCATATTAAAATGATGTGAAATAAATATAACTTCTAAATACCGCCTTTTTTTATAACGTTTAAATACAAGTAAATATAAATATAAATTTTTATTGTGGTTATGAGATTACTTTTTTATAAAAGTACAAATATACTGAGCGGCAACATTACACGTTTAGTCACGCGTAATTGGCCCATTAAGGTATAAATAGCTCAATAAAGCACTATGCTTAACTACTCTTAAGCCTTTATAGTCTTTTAAAAATAATGAACTAAATCGAGTATTCGCCAATGTTACTTCAAAATTAAAAATATATTCTTTATTGTGTATTTAGGACTCTCTCAAAAAACGTGTTTGTAAAACAGTTTAATTACGTCAAAACTTACCGACGCAAATTTTTGCTCATACTTCGAAGGTCACATACAAACAAAAAAATGATTACCTTTAGAATTAATACACAAGAACTGACATTCTATTTTTTATCGACATTTTTAAATAAAGTATATGAGTGTAAACAAAAACACTTCTTTGGATCTAAAATATTTTTTTTAAAACAATACGTGCACACTTTTTTTAATGTCTACCTCTTTTTCTCATTAAATCACGTTCGAACAGGTTTTCTCTATGTTATATGAAACATTCAACGTATAAAAAGTCATATATGATCAAATTATTGAAAATTCTATTGATATTTCAACAAACCATTCCACGTATACAGAAGTAGTGTGTATGTAGTAGTGATTACTAAGTAAGATGTCTTTAAGTCTAAAATAAAAACAATTTATATGTTATAGGGTGCGGAGCATTTCTAAATTTTGTTAAGTTATTCCGACACACATCATCAACCAGTAGAAATTTTTATTAATTTACTTTAGAACTTAATAATATGTTCTTTTCGAGGTTATAGTATTGGAGGTGCAATGAGGAGGATCCCGACAATAACGGAAAATATTTTTCCGTTATAGTCCTACGACAAAGTTGTACAAACTTAAGACTCTTTAAAGTGACTTAAATAAAATTTATACGTGCATATAATTCCGCGTCCTATTTTTTTATGTTTAACATCCTCTTTAAAAGCCATTGCTTGCGACAGAGAAGAAAAGAAAACCTACTTATCCCAGTGCAATGGAATCGAACCCTGACAATAACACACTAAGATACGATGCGCTAATTAAAAAAAAGTACATAATTGGTGAATAAATTTTATCATGAAATTAATTATTATTTATGCTGAAGTTTAACTAAAGAAACACCAGTACAGGGAAAACATCCCATAATAGAGACACGGCATAGATTACAATTTGTCAATGACTATCATAACTACATAAAACGCTTCAATGTATATGTGCACTAAAAATACTTCAAAGAGAGGGAATGAGAATTGGTTCTCTTATTTTTAATATGCCTATTAACAAGAATCAAATTTTTAAAACCCTTAAAAAAAACATACTACAGAAATTCATTTAAATATTCTGAATTTTCTGATTTTTACACAAAAAACATACTTTCTTCATTAACTTTGATGTTCTTTTATACAAAGAGACAAGTTCAGAGGTTAATTTTTTCAAAATAAAGTTTGTTACATCATTTTTAATTTAAGACATACTTAAAAGTGTCAGATTTTCCGAAACATTTTCTAAAGTTATTTTGAAAAAGTTCTACTTTTTATATACATGTTTTAACCCCTTTGTAAAAAGATAAAAAGTCAAATAATAAAAAAGTGTATTAAATAAAAGGAACATACTTTAAATGCTCATAAAATATCAGTATTGATCCAGACATTTTTCAAAAAGTTAACGAAATATAAAGATCAATATAGTAA